TAAGTTTAGCCCTATTTCGCATCTCTCCTTTGAGTCTAACCATTGTTGGGTAGGATCTCTCATTCGAAGAATTATTTGGTCTTAGTAATATATAATGGTATTTGCGAGCTAGTTGGGGAGAGATATCGGGGACTTCGTATGCAACTAATGGCGGAGAGTGGGTTGGAGATTAACCTAGGGCAAGCCTATGAAGAGCTTAGTAGCGGGATCTATTTGATTGAGACTTGTGTTCATGGGTACTAACCGTATTTGGTAACCCAAGGCGACCTAGGGGAAAGTACTTATAGATGTAGAAGGTAGTATGGGCTAGTACTACTGAAATCAGAGGATCCTCACTTGACTCTTGGAGAGCTACAAAGAACCAGCGGTGGCAGAGTACGACACCTCTCAATGATTATGTATGACCCTGACAATTGTGTGGTTTGCTTCAGATGGTGGTGACACATCATGGAGTAGGGGGATTAAGGTCTGGGTCTAGTTCGGGTATGGGTTCCGAGCCAATTAATGATGGATAGCTCAAGTTCATTGCATCCGATATTACGAGAGGCATCGTTGAGTCGACCCCAGTGATTTTCAGGTTGATCAAGGAGGGTATCATTGAGCTGATGGAGTATCTCCTTAGGGCATTCAGGAGTGACATGGCACAAGGCCATTCGGGGACTTGTACACTATCCTTCAAGGATTTCAAGGGGTTTGGAGCTCCAGACTTCTGCAGGGTGAAAGGCCCCATTGTAGCTAGGTGATGGATCGTAGACATCGAGTCCGCACAGATGATGAGCTTCTTCCCTGAGGGTTCGAAGGTAAGATTTTCTGCTGAGTGTTTGAGGGAGTGAGTTAGAGATTGGCGGGAGGAAATTAGTGATACTTGGGGAGCCCCAGCCATTGAGGCCATGACCTGGTCGGATTTTGTGTCTAGGTTTTGGGTAGAGTTTGCACCAGCTATGGAGGTTCACCAGTTGGCCAGGGAGTTTTTGGATATGAGACAGACTATTGATACGGTGACGGAGATTACTGCCAAGTTTAGGGAGAGGGCCTTGTTGGTGCCCCCAGTATGCAGGTGATGAGGAGATGAAGTAAACTCGGTACCATTATATGTTGAGAGCTGACATTCGGAAATATGTCAGCTATTCGGCATGCCCGACTTTGGATGATATGATAGCCAAGGCACGAGAGAGGGAGATTGATATAGAGCACATCAGGAAGAGGAAGGTGGAGATTGAGCAGACTACTAGGGTTTCGGTAAAGAAACCTAAGGGATTCGACTTGAGGTTGAAGGGCCAGTAGGGTCGGAGCCACTGTGGGAAATGCGGCAAGACACATGAGGGAGTTTGCAAAGTAGGGGGATTGGGCTGCTATAAGTGCGGAAAGTTGGGGGACTTTAGCAGGGATTGTACCGCCCCTACTCCCAACATTCAGACATTAGACATTAGACATGCTTTGTTTTCACTGCAATCAACGAGGCCACAAAAAGGCCAACTATCTGGGATTAGTATCAAGAGCGCCAGTGGTAACGCCAGCTCCAGCGACCCTGTGGATCATAGATGGCCGTCAGGGCAAGTCAAATGCTCCTGTGGTAAGGAGTCGGGCCTTTCAGCTGATCGTCGAGGAGGCACGTGTTGCACTAGATGTGGTAAAGGGTATGTTTCTTCTCCTTAGTTTTTATTTTATGTCGGTTTTCATATTTATATTCCATGTATCTTGTTGTAGGGTCGTTCCATGTGAACGGTATCTCAGTGCTGATATTAGCTTACTCGGGGGCTACCCGATCCTTTTTATCGCTTGTGCTTAGCAAGCGATTTTTTGAAGCTACGGGGGAGCTAGACTATCCCCTTGATATAGATATTGCAGATGATAAGACTGGTCAGGTCGTGAGGGTTCATCAGGGATGTACACTGCAGTTGTTTGATGAGCAGTATTCCACGGATTTGGTCCTTATTCCCCTGCGAGGGAATAAGGTTATTGTGGGTATGGACTAGTTGAGCTCCAATGGGGCAGTGATTGACTATGAGTGGCAGCTAGTACGAGTTAAGACCCCAAGTGGGGGAGGGTTGGTGATTCAGGGCGAGAGGCCGTAAGGTAAACAGACTTTGTGTTCGATAGCGAGGGTGAGACACTACCTTTAATAGTGTTGAGTAGGTTATGTCGCCTATGTCATGGATACCCGAGAGAAGTGTAAGGAATAGTACATGATGTACCGATCGTACGGGAGAACCCGGACGTGTTCCCGGAGGATTTTCCTGGGGTACCTCCAAAGAGGTAGGTAGAGTTCAGTATTGACCTAGTTCTTGGTGCGGCTCCAATAGACAAGACACCATATCGGTTGGCTTCTCCCGAGATGCAGGAGTTGTCTACACAGCTGCATGAGCTATTAGACAAGGGATCTATCACGTCGAGCAGTTCGCCATGGGGAGCCTCGATCCTGTTTGTGAAGAAGAATGATGGGTCACATTAGATGTGTACAGATTACCAAGAGTTGAATAAGGTAACGGTGAAGAACTGTTATCCCCTCTCGAGGATTAATGACTTATTTGACCAGCTTTAGGGTGCATCTTGGTTCTCCAAGATTGATCTGTGATCAGGTTATCACCAGATACAAGTCAAGGACAATGATGTGTAGAATACAACCTTTCAGACTCGCTATGGTCACTATAAGTTCGTGGTGATTCCGTTTGGGCTCACAAATGTTCATGTCGCGTTCATGGATCTCATGAACCGTGTATGCAGACCGATGTTGGATCGGTCTATGATAGTTTTTATCGATGACATCTTGGTGTATTCCAAGACTCAGGAGAAGAACGAGGAGCACTTGAGGGAGGTGCTGGAGACACTGAGGAGGGATAGACTTTTCGCAAGCTTCTCCAAGTGTGAGTTTTGGTTGTGTGAGATGCAGTTTTTGGGGAAACCTCATCAACTAGAACGGTATACTGGTCGATCCGGCCAAGGTAGAGGCCATGATGAGATGGGAGGTTCTAAGTCCTCCATCCGAGATTCGAAGTTTTCTTGGTATGGCGAGTTATTATCGGAGATTCATCCATGATTTTTCCAAGATTTTTGTTCTACTGACCCAACTGACCAAGAAGTCAGTGACTTTCCGCTGGGGGCCTAAGCAACGGGCGACTTTCGAGACCTTGAGGAGGAAGTAATGCAAGGCACCTATATTGACTCTACTAAAGAGTGTTAAGGATTTTGTAGTGTATTGTGACATGTCTATCACATGCTTAGTCTCCGTATTGATGTAGAGAGGGTGTGTCATCGCTTACGCCTTGAGGTACATGAAGCCTCACGAGACGAATTACCCGACATACGACTTGGAGTTAGGGGAAGTTGTTTTTTCCCACAAGATTTTGTAACACTATCTCCATGGGGTTTGTTGTACTATCTACACCGACCATAAGAGCCTGAGGTACTTGATGGATCAGCTAAATCTGAACATGAGGCATCGACGTTGGTTGGATGTGGTGAAGGATTATGACTGTGAGATCCTTTATCACCTGGGGAAGGCTAATATGGTGGTTGATTATCTTATCTGCAAGGAGGCCGCGGCTCCGATTAGGGATATATGTCTGAGGATGATAGTGATTACTTTAGTGCTGGAGCAGATTCATGAGGCTCAGGTCGAGGGTATGAAGGAGGAGCGCCGAAAGTGTGAGCAGATCATAGGGCAGGTGGATTCATTCGAATATGATAGTCGTGGATTGTTGACCCTGCATCATAGGGTCTAGGTTCCTTATTGGGGAGGTGTGCACCAGGTTCTGATGGAGGAGGCTCACAAGTCGAGATTCTCCATTCATCCCCGGGCGATGAAGATGTATCGGGATCTTTGCCCTGAATATTGGTGGCCTTGCATGAAGTTGGACATAGCTTGGTATGTGGAGCGGTACCTCATTTGCAGGAAAGTCAAGTTCGAGCATCAGTGACCTCATGACAAGATGTAGTTGTTGGAAATTCCTGTGTGGAAATGGGAAGACATCACTATGGATTTCATCACAAAGCTTCCTAGGACCGTACGAGGGGTAGATTCTATCTGGTTCATCATGGATCGGTTGACCAAGAGTACACATTTTATCCTGGTCCAGGAGAGTATATCAACAAAGAAGCTAGCCGAGATTTACGTCCGCGAGGTGGTGGCTCGACATGGAGTGCCGGTTTCGGTTGTGTCAGACCAAGATGTTCGCTTTACTTCCAGATTTTGGAAGCAGTTTCACGACGAGATGGGTACTCGTCTCCATTTCAGTACAACTTTCCACCCGCATACGGATGGACATAACGAGAGAACGATTCAGATTCTAGAAGACAAGCTGCGTGCGTGCGTGTTAGATTTTGGTGGGAGTTGGGATACGTATCTTTCGTTAGCAGAATTTTTGTATAACAACAGTTACCATGGTAGGACAGACTGGCCTCCCTTCGAGATGCTCTATGGGAGGAAATATAAGACCCCAATCAGTTGGGGTGAGGTCGGTCAGAGATTCATGGGGAGTACCAAGGTGGTACTCAAGACTACTGATATGATCCAGCAGGTCTGGAGCAGGCTCTAGACAGATTAGATTCGACAGAAAAGCTATACCGACAAGCACCGGTTAGACCTAGAGTTTCAGGTAGGGGATATGGTTCTC